CCGATATTGATATAGTTGAAATGAAGTTGAATCGAAAAAAAATTCATTTAGATCAATAAAAAGACAAAAAAATGGAAAGATAAATATTTGTACTTTTATTCTTCTCACGTGCAATTTTCCGCAAACTATTTATTTTATAGTATAATAATGCCAACAAAAAGAAACAAGAAAACAATAATTAATAAGAATAATTCATTAATTAATGCTTGGTAAATATTTATTTTGTTCTTTTTCGGTACTAATTACTGCATAACCACAATTATATATATTATTTTATAGTATATAAACAATAATAATGCCAACAAAAGGTAATTAATATGAGTGAGAATTAATTATTATTAATTGTTGCAGAACCTAAAATGGAATATTTAATACGAATAAAAAGCATTGCATATATTTATAATTTACTGTAATTTAAATTATTTCACAATTTTAAAAATAAATTCAAAAATTTTTTCAACCATATTTACCTTTTGTTTTTAAAAAATTTTCTTCTTTAATTATTAAACTTCGCAATTAGTTAACTTTGCATTTAAGAAAAACAAATTTTAAGTTTTATGATTTTATACTTTTTATTCAAATTTCGTTTCGTAATTTAGTCAGCCATTGCTACCAGCTCATTCAACAGATAACGAACGATCGCATTTGTACATTTCATTTATTTTGTTTACTTAATTTTTTTTTTAAATTTAACATAACATTAATAGCAATCAATTTGCATGTTTGCTTTTGAATACTATTAATTCCCATAATATCACTTTCACTCATTTTATTCGTCGAATAATAAATGTTCACTTTTCCGAATTTGTCGTATTGTCAACGAACCGAATCATTTTATGATCATTTCGTCATATTTACAGCATTTTGAAATTTAAATTATGAATTTTAGAAATCTGAAGGAATTTTCTCAGTTCAGTAATTAGTCGTATAGTGAAATAAAATTTGATTAAATGAAACTATTAGACGGAAATGTCTAATGATGCTTTGGATAATTTAAAATATTGACAGATTGTGATGGTTGCTGCTATATTATTTACCGAATAAATTTAAAATGCGCTATTTATTGCAAAATTGCTTAAACTTGCGAAATATTATTACGATTTGTAAATGTGATGTGAAATTTAACCCTAATTTGACCCTAATTTAGAATCGTTCTTTTATGTTGAAAGTTTATTTTGAAAATTCCGAATTTGAAATTAAAACATTGAATATATTTTGATGTTGATATTACACAATTAGACTATCATTCATTTATCATGCTAATATTTAATTCAACCTTAATAAAGCTTAATTTTAATTCAAATCTTTTCTTTCTTCATTTGCAATAATTTATCATTGTTGTATATATAGGAAATGTATTCGTTGATTTCGTGAAATGAAATGAATTAGCTCCTCTTCCTTCCATATGGCTGACTACAACAAGGAATATTTCCATCCTTTCTTAGAGGCTTTCCTCCTCTCAATAAACAGTCAATCCTTTCTCGAGCAAACCTTCCCTTCTCGACAGTTATCAATCCTCTCTTCGCTGCTTTCTTCTCCGATTCCATAATCATACCCGACGGAATTTCATCATTTTGCGTTACTCTGATGGAAATATATCAATGAAGACGAAAAAGCTATTGAACGTGTTGCAACTGATGGATCAATTGCTTTCCACGTGGTTAATTCATACTTATTCTTTCTTCTTCTGCTACTGCTTCAGCGCATTTTAGCGTTATACACTTCCGCCGCTATTTAGCATCATCTTTTTCACTTCTATCATTATTTCATCGTGAAGTTATTTGCAGCATTTCCTTTAAACATATTAAATGTAATTTGAAATGTTACTAAAGCAATATAATAAACATTTTCATTTCTTCTTTTCCAATTTAACCGTTGTAGTTATTGTTATTGTTGTTACTATTACTTGTTGTTATAATTTCCTACAACAATAACGATTATAATATTATAATATATTACGTATTTAATCGATGTAAAAATTCAGATCTCTTTTTTTTGTTTTTCCAATTTAGTCATTGTGGTTATTGTTATTGTTGTTGCTATTACTTGCTGTTATAATTTCCTACAACAATAACGATTATGATATTATAATATATTATGTATTTAATCGATGTAAAAATTCAGATCTCTTTTTTTCGTTTTTCCAATTTAACCGTTGTGGTTATTGTTATTGTTGTTGCTTCTATTTGTTGTTATAATTTCCTACAACAATAACGATTATAATATTATAATATATTACGTATTTAATCGATGTAAAAATTCAGATCTCTTTTTTTTGTTTTTCCAATTTAGTCATTGTGGTTATTGTTATTGTTGTTGCTATTACTTGCTGTTATAATTTCCTACAACAATAACGATTATGATATTATAATATATTATGTATTTAATCGATGTAAAAATTCAGATCTCTTTTTTTCGTTTTTCCAATTTAACCGTTGTGGTTATTGTTATTGTTGTTGCTTCTATTTGTTGTTATAATTTCCTACAACAATAACGATTATGATATATGTATGTATTTAATCGATGTAAAGATTCAGATCTATTTATCATTTCTTTTTTGTACAATTTACCTTTTTTGATCGAATATGAATCATATTCAGTTTTATTGCAATTAAGCACAAATAGTTTAATGATTCATATCAGCCGATATAAAATGTTCGTTTTTTCCCGAATGCATTAATAAAACAAAAAAGAAGTAACATTTCAAATGATATTTATATATTTATTTTATTCATTGATTTATATCATTTCTAACAATTTGCTTATTTCTTTGTTTACTTATTTATTTATTTATTTTTGCATATTTTTATTGTTTTTATTTCATCATAATTTATTTATTAAAAAATACTTTTTTCTTTCATTAATTAAAAATTAATTTTAATGAAAGACTTTTTGAATTTGCTTTTGTTTACTCATTTATTTATTTATTTATTTATTTATTTATTTATTTTTGCATATTTTTACTGTTTTAATTTCATCATATTTATTTATTAAAAAAAATACATATTATCTTTTTTTTTTTCATTGATTTAAATTAATTTTAACAAAAGACTTTTTGAATTTGTTTTTGTTTACTTATTTTATTTTATTTATTTGTTGATTTATTTATTTATTTATTTTTGCATATTTTTATTGTTTTAATTTCATCATAATTTATTTATTAAAAAAAATACATATTATCCTTTTTTTTTTCAATGATTTAAATTAATTTTAACTTTTGGATTTGCTTTTGTTTACTTATTTTATTTTATTTATTTGTTTATTTATTTATTTACTCTCACAGTTTTATTGTTTCAGCATATTCGTTTATTATATCCCTTTATTGTTTCATTTGTTTATTAAAATTGTAAAATTGAAAGTAAAAATGTTATTGATATTAAAATGCTAAAAGATTGATATAATATATGCGATAATAAAATGATCTATAAATACATATATCATTGTTGTTGTAGCTTATCTATAAAACGGATCATAAAAACCGGATCAATCATCATCATCATCATCATCATCATCATCATCATTTTCATTATACATTTTAGCTATATGGATAGCTTTTAGGTTTTTAGTGATAATCAAGCCGCCAAACAATGATTATCGATAAGAATTCATATTGATTTGCTAATGATAAGAAGGAGAGAAGAAAAAAAAGGAGGAAAAAAAAAAGGAAAAGAGAAGCTATTTCTCTATCACTCTTACCAATTCCTTTGTAGCGATTTCAATCTTAACATAGAAAACTTTCAACTCTTTATAGAGCATTATTTCTTTCTGTGTCTGTCTCTCTGTATGTATGCATGTCTTTTTTTTGTTGTTAATTTTTCTTAATCATTCTTTTTCCCTCCTCATATCACTGATATTCTCACTCTTCTTATTATTCTCTCTTTATTTGTAAGAGTTTTTCAGAGAAGTAAAGATTTGTTTGATTGATATCGAATGATAAGCAAATGATAAGTTACATTTGTTCGATTGATATCAAATGATAATAATTGTGTAAAAATTACTCAAAAAATTGTTGAATTGATAGAGTATACTGATAGCAAGTGATAAATAATCATTCTATTGTTGATAATTTTACCGCATTTTAATCATTCGTATCATTTTCCCTTTGATTTTTCGTATAACTTTATTTTTCGAAAAAATATTCCATTCAAAATATTCGACTAAATTTAAATTCCCATTTTCAAAATCTAAAAAATGTTTGTAACATTAAATTATCAGGTATATTTCATAATAGAATTAATTAGAAAGAATTTAATTCATTCCACTGTCTTGCTTTTATCACTCATATCATTGATATTCTTATCTTATATCACTTGATATTCTCCACTCTTCTTATTTCATTTTTTTACCTTTTGTTTTTTTCCTTATTAAAAATTTATTCATTTTTGCTATTTAATGATATTATCAATCTTTCATTAACCAAATTAAATTCAATTGTTCAATTCAATTCAATTCAATTCAATTTCCAATAATAATTAATTCAATTCAAATATAAATTTGATAATAATTAAAAACGAAAAGTTTTAAATATTCAAATGATATAATAATTGAATTCCTTCAGTTTAAGAAGCATAAAGTTTGACAGTCTTCCACAATGTTAAAAATATGCGTATTTTTAGATGATAACTTAAATGTTTTTGGATTTGATTTATCATCTTATTGATTATTATCATTGCTTAATTACAAAACTAATAATTAGCAAGTTTGATAGTCTTCCACAATGTAGAAAATATGCGTATTTTTAAATGATGACTTAGCATAATGTTTTTTGGATTTGATTTATCATCTTATTGATTATTATCATTGTTTAATTACAGAACTAATAATTAGCGCATAAAATTTGACAGTCTTCCACAATGTTAAAAATATGCGTATTTTTTAATGATAACTTAACATAATGTTTTTAGATTTGATTTATCATCTTATTGATTATTATCATTGCTTAATTACAGAACTAACAATTAGCCATCACATCATTGCAATATTTTATTGCCTTTACCTATATGTATACGCTATTTCTGCTTTTATTATTAATAATTAATATAATTGACAAAACAAATGGTAAGAAAGAAAGCATCGAAGAAGCGAAAATACAAATAGAAAGTTAATAATTCTTTCTTTTTGATCATTTTTTTCTTTTTAAAATTTAAAATGTGAAAAAAAAAGATTATTGAGATATAAGAGAAATAAGGAAAAAAAGAAAGAGAGAAAAGTATCAATGAATTAGTGATCTAATCGATTATTGATTAGTAATCATATATCTCTGTAGAACTGTCAGATTTAAATTCTTCTCTTAATATTGATCATAGTTTCATTTTAAAATATAATAATGATCATTTCTTCCATTTTACTAATATTGCAGGAGATAAATTATCCTGCTATAATGGTTGGATACCATATGCACCAACCGGTTCAGTTAAACACACTCATTGTTTGAAGATTTTAACGGTATTTCGAATGACATGGCAACAAGCTGAAGAAAGTTGTCGACAGGTTGGAAAAGATGCTCATTTGGTATCGATACAAACAACAGAACAAATTGGATGGCTTACAACAGCGGTTTTAGTTTTTTAATGATTGCATTATTAACAATGATAATGAAAACGGAAAATTATTATGTTTAAAATTTTAATTGGTCTGACATAAAATTTTAAATTTCAAAATGATAAGATTGATTACATGCATACACTTTTTTTATCTTAATTTATCATATCAATTAATTGATCAGTTTTTTTATTCGATTTTTCTTGTCAATTTTTATTCAAATATAGTTGAAATAGTTTATCACTCATTGATAATATCTTTACTTGAAGATTGATACAGAAATAGAAATGAAAGGAAAATCGTTGTATACATTGTTTCCAAAAAATTCTCCATGGTTTGATTCTGGCTGGTGGATTGGACTTGGCCAATTATGTCCTAATAGTGAAATTGATCGCATGCCTTTCTTCAGGTTTCATTTTCAGAGCAATTTGCAGAAATGCTTTTTCTCGATGAAATATATCCAAATTTTGGCATTCGTTAATTTTTTGAAATTTTTCTGTCTCCAAAATAAAAATTAAGTTTTCAAAAAAAGATTAATTTAAAACAAAGATTATAGTATCATTAAGATATACCTAATGATACTACAATCTTGAATGCATACCATTATACGTGTTACCTGCATTTCACCCGAGATTATTACACGTCGATTATAAATGATACACAATTTCTATAAATATAAATTCTATAAATGATACACGTGATTTTTTTGATCGTATTTGATCGTAATAATAATAAAGAGTGAAATTATTTTCTTATCAAGTCTATTCTTATTTGTTATCACTGATAATGACATAATTTTATCACAGATTGAATTTTCCCTTCATCATCTGCTTCTTTGAACTTTTCTTCCTGGCAAATTTTTAAATATTTAAATTAAAAAGAATGAATATTTAATTAATTTCAACTTATTCAGTATTTAATTATAGATGGGTCGATGGAAATTTATTCGATAACGATAAATTAACAATCGGTGACGTAAAGCTTATCATACCAAAATCAAAGAAATGGGATAATTACTATTGTGTTTTTTATGATTGTATGTTTTCAAGAAATTTAAAATTCACTTTTGGGCAATATTAGCTTATTTTGTTAAAATTTTTTCTTTTGTTTTCTTATTTCTTTTCGTAATGAGCATTAATTAATTAGCAAAATTAATTTAATCTATTAGAAATAAATAATAATTGGCATAAAATAAATTTTCAAATACATGGCAAAAAGAACATACAAATTCCATATTATTATCGGTAATATTACAGATCAAAAATCGTCTAACGGAATCGTATCCCATCGAATGTTTAACGTAACGAAATGTTCGGATCGTCGAAGATTTATCTGTCAAATGCCTGCTTTTTCACAGGTAATTTAAAGTCGACATCTGAAATTTGTTAAATCTAACAATAACAATAATTTCATTATTTAAATTTTTATTCATATTTTAGGATCAGCTTCTTCATGGTGGTACTGTAGTAGCGGAAGAAGTAAAAGTTGTGGATAACGGAATAAGTGAACTTACCGCGGAATGTTAGCCATTCTTTATTCAGTTACAATCGCTCGCATATTTTATTTAATTATTATTTTATTTAAGAAATTTGAATTTTTATTTTCTTATTTTTAATATTATTAATATTTTTCAATGGAACTAAAAAATGAAATCCAAATTATCATATCATATCAATATCAATCTTAAATGATCGAATTACAGTTCCATGTGGTAAGGATCCGTTATTTTGTCCACTGAAAACTGATCAAGGTACCGTATGCTATCGTTTACAAACCGAACCACTTTATTGGGAGCAAGCGATCGAAGAATGTGATTTAAAGCATCAATCTGATCTTACTTCCATTCATTCAAAAGAGGAAGTAAATTTCATCTATGAAATGGTAAATTTTTCGTCGAAATTTCAACAATTTTAAAAGACGTCACATATTTGCACAGGTTAACTGACAGTTTAAATGAATGTAAATTAAATTAAATTAATTTTTTGCTTACCTTGAAGGTCGAATTTATTTAGAATGATTGAGGCATGAAAACAAAGTTGACAGTTAGTATATATTAGATATGGTATATATCTGAAAAGTTTGAAATAAGTGAGAATAATATTAGCTAGACTTGAATTCATCAGTGATCTTCGAAGAGATTTTTCTTAAATGGCATTCATTCCTATCAATACTACGATACTCTTGATAATATTATCAACTAGACTTGAATTCATCAGTGACCTTCGGAGAGATTTTTCTTAAATGGCATTCATTCCTATCAATACTACGATACTCTTGATAATATTGATAAAACTAACTAGACTTGAATTCATCAGTGACCTTCGGAGAGATTTTTCTTAAATGGCATTCATTCCTGTCAATATTACGATACTCTTGATATACCTGATAATGATAATTTTAATAAGGATAATAATACTACAATACTCTTGACATATCTGATCATGATAAATTTAATAAGGATAATTTTGATATTACTACTGATAAAAATTCATTCAAAAACTTATTTTCATGAAAGTTCAAAAATTTTGAGGAAGAAACAGTTTAATCAGAATAATTTTGATATATCGGGTGATAATAAACTTGAATGATTATTTCTTTGAGAGAGAGAGAAAAAAAATGAAATTGTTAGGTGCAACTACAACCATCCGTAAGTGGTAAAACAAAATACTGGATTGGATTGCATCGAAGGAATGCACAAAGGTATCCTTTCTTTCTTGGTTTATCTTTTGCCAATGTCCGAAAGTTGAAATTTCCGGAAATGTTCACCGGAGCAGACGTATTATCAATTTAATGATGCCATTCCGTCGTCTCTTCTCTCTTTTATTGTTTTAGTTTACTTTTTTTTATTTTTAAACTAATGAAATAATTAATTGCAAGAATAAATTACAGTCAATACGAATGGTCCGATGGTTCATCGTTTGATTATTTGCTGGAACGATTATCAAACGAGGATCCGGAAGAGGAAAGAGGTATTTGTGTTGCAATGCAATTTAATATCAGGTTAGTTTTAATGTAATATTAAGTTAGATTAGATCATTTAAATTTAATATCAGGTTAGATTCGGTAAAAAAATACGTATCATTTATATACGATGACAATATTAGTTATATACATTGACATACATTATTTATATATTATTTATATACATAATATTTATATACGTTAACATACATTATTTATATACATAATATTTATATACGTTGACAATATTTACACCATTTCGCTCCATTTCTGTTTCTTCAACTTTCAAAATGTATTAAAGCGTTGCATTTTTCAAAATTTTAAATTGAAAAAAAAAATGAAATCAGGTTATCGCAAATATTTGAAAATTGATCTGATATTTAGGATACCTTTTTTTTGTGTATGAAATGTTTCAGCACTAAATTACTACAGAAACAACCACTCTATAATCTTTTTGGTATTCCAATTCAACTGACCAAAAATGTTCCAGGTGTGTTCTTTTACGATGTTGACAAAAAATTCTTCTCAACATTGATATGTTTTTTTTAAATCAAAATTCAATAAATTAAATTTTTAATAATTATGAAATTAAATTTTTAATAATTGTCAAATTATTGAACTAAATTTTTATTAATTATCGAATTATTGAATTAAATTTCTAATAATTATCAGATTATTGAATTAAATTTTTAATATTTATCATATTGTTTTAATAAATTAATGAATTGAATTTTAATAAATGAAATTTTTATTAATTATCAGATTACCGAACTAAATTTTTATTAATTATCAGATTATTTTAATAAATTAATAGATTAAATTTTAATGAATTAAACTTTTTTAATAATTATCAGATTATCGAATTTAATTTTTAATAATTATCAGATTATCTAATTTAATTTTCATTGACTATCAGATTATTTTAATAAATTAATTAATTAAATTTTAATGAACTAAATTTTTTATTAATTATCAGATTATTTTAAGCAAATTTTTTGATCTTTTTTTGTAATGTTAAAATTTTGACTTTTCCATTTAATATATTTTTCAAATCAGAATCAAATCTATTTGTAGCATATTTTTGGACCCATCAACGATGTGATAATCGCCATTTAGCAATATGTCGTAAATCAGGCTTTGATTATCATTCACGTTCCGAATTATCTGCAAAGGAAGAGAGACGATTGAAAAAGCAGAAAAATTGGAAATGTTTAAATGGATACAAATTATTCAGTTCGTTTTCTCTCTTTTTCCCTCTCTCTCTCTCTCTCTCTCTACCCCCTTTTCTCTCTTTTCTTTTAAATGAGATTTTATTACGAATGATATGAATTTCATTATATTAAAATTATTTAATTTTCTGCTTTTATGTTATACTTTTTTATTTATTTAAAAAATATATTTAAATTCATAGTTTAGCTATTTGCGCATTAAATTTAATTATATAAATTATTTTGGAATAGTAAAATTAATACTTATTTTTGGAGAACTTTAATAAGTTGATATTTAGCAAAAATTTACTAAATAAATACTTTACCTTTACCTTCACTTAATTATTTTCTTGTAGTAATATTTTTGTTTTCATCGCTGATTATTTCTGCTAATATTAATTTCTAATAGTTAGTTAAATATGTATTTGGGTACTAGAAAATATTTAACAAAAAAAATAAATCGTTTAAAAAGCATAATTAGTATGCAAAAAGCTGCAATTTGATAACAATAACTGATAATATCAAAATTAGAATTTAATCGATGATAACAGCTGAAGTAACTGATAATGCCAAAATAACTGATAATATTTAAACTGATATCAAAATTGGAATTTAATTGATGATAGCAGTTGAAGTAACTGATAATATCAAAATAACTGATAAGATCAAAATTAGAATTTAATTGATGTTAACAGTTACTGATAATATCAAAATTAGAAATTAATTCAAATGATTAATGTTTAAAAAAGTTAAAATAATTGCAATGTATGTTTTAGAAGAATTTTGCAATAAATTAAACAGGTAATTATAATTTGGAATATTATCAGTTATTTTGATATCACAAAAAATTTATGTGAAATTTAATTTCCGTTGGATTACAGGAGGAATGTGTTATAAATTATATGGAACGGATAATAACGGTGTAACATTCAGTGAAGCTATTCGAAGTTGCAAAAATGATAAAGCTAATTTGGTTAGCTTAACTGATATCTATGAAAATGGTTAGTATATAATATTAATATTTCATTTTTAAATTTATTTAAAGAATTACGAATGCAATTTTTATAATGGTTAAACAGCTTTACTCTTTACTAATTAATTGACGTGAAAATATTTCCTTTCCATTATTGGCTTCGTATTAGATATGGCGATAAATTAGTTGAATGATAAATTAGCTGATAAGATTAATTGATATAGCTAATTAATTGATTATTTTCTGAAGTTTCATTAGTGTTTTACTTTTATAATGAATATATATTTTGTTCGATTAACTTTTATTGCAGCATTTTTTCAAAAATTCCTTTGTTAGGTGAGTAAGGTTGTGCTTATTTGGTTATTGTTTAAGATATCCAATAATTCCTCAACAAATATCTCCCGGGTTTATATTTATCTAATTTACTTACATAAACACATCTCCAATTAATTAATTCATCGCTGTAATACTTGCAAAGTTTAAAAATTTAATTGATTGAATTTTTTTTGTATTTTCAACAAGCCAACGTCCAATATTTAAATTTCTGCAATTATACGACTTTAGTTTTATTAATGATTTTCTTGTTCTTTGATAGGATTTGTTGTATCAATGTTGCAAAATTTAAATAGTAATGCATGGATTGGTATGGATATGACTGATGGACGTGTACGATGGCTTGATGGTGAACCATTGAAATTGACCCGTTTTGGTCCAGATAAAAGAGTGATCCGGATTGGTGGTGATCGGCATATTTTTCAAAATGTTGGTCAAGCAGGTTTTTCCAACGAGGTTACTGTATACAGCTTGTTTTATTATTTTTATGTTTATTTTATATTACATATTGTAATTTTATAAATTCACTTTGCTAACAAGCTTGTTGCAGCAATGAATAAAATATAACCATACTTACCATCTAGCATTTACACTTAGGTAAGTTCTTTTAATTTTAATTTAATTTATTTAATTTATCTAGTTATTTTAATTTCCGAAATATATTTCGAACATTTGAAATATTTGATTTAATTCGAAATTTTTTTCAGGCTTGCGTTGCATTAGATGCTACTAATATGATCGGATATTGGGATATTATCTTCAATAGAACCAGTAATTTTCGTTTCTTTCCAAAATATTTCAATGATCTGAAATCTAATTTAATTCCATTCCATTAATTATCTTCTCTTAAAAGACAAGTGATTATTTTATACAATAAGCTGGCTTATGGTTAATAATTCTATTTGGAAAATTAATTCTATAAATATTAAAGTATGTTTGGATAATAATATTAATAGATCCTAGCTGGATCTTTTCTATCACTAAGCAGTTTTGAGACGATCATTGAGCTGATTTCATTTATCAAATTTTCTCTTCTAAGTAAAAATACTATGAACCACGTAGCGTACTTAGCTTATCCACTCATGTTTATCGATTTCGAATTAAATTGCTGGAGGATAAAATGCTAAAATATTGAACAACGTTTTAGCAGTTTCAAGTAATTTGTGAAACTGTATGCCTAATATTGATTTGTTGTCATCAATTGTGGCAGCTTCAAATAATTTAATATAAAAGACAAAGACCGATAATTTACTATCATCAACAATTCTTTTATTTAATCATATCTTTCAAAACATAACTAATTTCAACTTATGAAGTGTTTTGAATTTGAAAATAACAATTATAGTTAATATTCAGATTACGTTTTCCCTGGTGGTTCAACACGAGCCGATAACAAATCAAGCCAATGTGATATAGTAAAACTACCATATATTTGTGAGACCTATGCAGGTTAATGATCTTTCATTGATATGATATTAAGCTACTAATTATATTCTAAGTTATCAGAAAGGATCGTTGAATATTTATCAATCGCAAGAGAACTTTCATAAATCAAAAACATTTTGTTAACTATACAATTCACTTCCAACCAATCATATAGTAAATGATTTATCACAATAAAATAATTATTCCAAAAAAAAAAAATTAATGCTTAAAGCTCCAAAAAGAAGTGAGATAAGAAGACAGGAAGGTTGAATAAAAGATTTAATTAATTAATTACCTAACTATTAATATGCAATATTTTATTCGCAAACAAAAAATAATTCTATACTTATCAATAAATTGATACTTCAGAGGAATCAACAAATGTAATTCAAAAGAAAAAGGTATGCCATGAAATCGACGATATCGAATATTGTTTCCTTTTCAACGATCCTAACAAACATAGTTCGTTGCTAATAAATTAATTTTTTTTTTCGCTGATCGATAAATTCTGTTCAAAGTTATTATTATTTTAAATGCAAGGTAGTAAACAAATTAGTTTTACTATAGATGAAGAAAAAGATTACTGCATTTTTTCCACTTTACTTTATTTCTCAAACACAAAAGCTGTTGAAAATTGTTGAAAAAGTTGTTGAAAATTGTTGAAAAAGTTGTTGAAAATTGTTGAAAAAGTTGTTGAAAATTTTCTTCACAATTATAATTTTTTTTTACTAATTTTACTAATTTTTGACACAATTTTACTAATTTTTGAACCATCGTTTTATCATACTCATTTTGAGTTGACGAGAAGAAAGTTAAAAAGAAAATGTTAATTCAAAATTTTGTGAAATTTATGTGACAGGCAATCAATTTCAAATTTTCAGTCAATGATCATTATACTTTTGTGGATGCATCCGAAATTTGTGCAACATTACCAACAAAATATCCAAATTACGGTCATCGATATGGACAACTTGCTCAAGCTGATAATATTTTCGAATGGCTATTTTTAACAGCAATGGCGTTGGAAAATGATTATGATCAATTCTTCATGGGCATTCGTTTTCGGAAATCAATAGGGTATGATGTTGAAAATTTTTCGCGTGAAATTTTTTTAAAAATCTTCAGAGTTGATAGATTAGCTAAAGTTACGAATTCTTCTGTTATTTGCAATAATTTAAATTATCCAATCTATTGTTAGCTTATATGTAATTTGCTAAGTTCATTGATTAGTAAACAATTTATTATTTTTAATTACTGCTATTGTTATTAATATTATTATTATTATTAGTTATCAATGCTAAATAACAGAATCATCGCTTCAACAAATGTCTAAAAAGAATGCAAAAAATTTAGCAATAAGAATTACTTCAAATGTCAAAACTTTAAAAACAATGTTTCAATATTTTTGAAATTTAATTGAAGTTCTAATTTCTCTAAAATTCTAACTTAAATAATTTGGGAATTGATAATTTCATTTAATACTCTTATTCATGGATTCTTATATTTTCACACTTACAAGATCCTATATGATTCTTTAGCAAAATCGAAATCTCTTTTATTGAGGATCATTGAACAAATTTATATTCAACGCTATTTTTATTCTAACTTTTCCGATACCACAATAAGGCATACAGATTTTCTCGTTCCGAAGCAATATGCTGTATATGATTTCTCCGGAAGATTTTTTTGCATATTTCAGGTTTGAAAGAATTGATAAACTACGATTACGTTTAGCACCTTGGGATATTGGTGAGCCAAATTTAGAGAATGGCGATTGTGTTGTAATGAGAATTGGAAAAAACGGTCCTGCTTGGTTTATGGATGATTGTATGAAGCGTAAACCGATCGTTTGTCGGCTTAGCAGAGGTAAAAGTTATTTTAGACAAAAAATTTATATTCTCTCTTCTGAAATAGTTTTTTGGCAAAAGTTTCCGGAAATGGACAGATTAAATTGAAGAAGACAGTTTAAACTAAATTTCTCGCAGTGTAGTAAATTATAAAATTTAAATATCTGTTTATTCTTTGATGTTATTTTATGCTAGTTGAAGTACTACAACGCTTTTGTTTTAAATACGCTAATTACTGCAAAATCGTAGTAAAACTTCATTATCACAAGTTATCATCGAATTTTTTCATTCCATGGTTATCATCATAATACGTTCACATAACATAAGTGATCTTATGATAATAGGATATGTGATATAATATCAGCTAATTATTTCATAGATTTTTTTTAGAGAAACCGATGAGTATGGTACCACAAACAGTACGTTGCCCAGATGGTAAAGAGGATTGGATTCTTGGCGAAACGCATTGCTATTATTTGGTTAGTAATGCGTCAATGTTCAGTTCGGGCTTTAAAGCGGATCATGATTGTTTTAAGGTAAGTGCGGAAGTATGGTAATTAGGCATTAATTAACCAGATGAAAATGAAACAACAGATATCCAACAAATAATTTTTTATAAAAAAATACTTGTTGTTTTTTTAATTCTATCGAAAATTCGCTCAATTTAAATATTCTTACTTTTTAATAAATTATATTAATTATACATGAATAATGAGAGTCGTGTAAAATTAATCAATTGCTTTATGCAAATTTCATTTTTATAAAAATATATTGACAAGGAAGTCCGAATGATATGTACGAATCATTCAGCTTTAACAGGCAAGATTACTTCACCTGCTTGTGCTCCAGCTTTAAATGGTGCCTGAGGGTCATCCTCTTCATCCGGTACCTCAGCCCATTGAATCACAAACTTATCCTCTTTAGGTGGCCCTTCAAGGCGGACTATTTTCAATTCCGTTTTATCACCTTTGGAAACAAAACCATACACTGGTGTGACACGGTAATGCTCGTTGTTAGTTGTTTTCACCTGAAATTTGATCAAACTGCAAACTCACCTAATAACTCTCTTTGGATCTTCTACTATTCCAATCTTCAATACTAATGATCTCATAACGGACGAATATGATATTAGATAAAAATTAATGTAAATAAAGAAAGTTGTTAATTAAAATCATATTAGTATTAAAAAATCGTATTGAATTATATTAATTAATTCATTAATAATACAAAATTTCCAAAATAGATATTTATAAAAGAGGAGTTAATTTATAATTAGCTTTGTTTTAAAAAAAAAAGATTTCCTAAAGTATTCAAAAATTTCAATGTTCATAAAAGAAGCGAACTTTAAAGCCTAATCGGCTTTCTGATTGATTGATAATATTAACGGTACTATCACCGCCCGAAGCTTGAAATGTTACATCAGGAGGATCAATATTCATTGCCATTTCAAATTACAACACTTGCAACTATGCTGTTGTAATAAAACCAAAAGTGATAAACCGTGCGATATATTTCAAAAAAAAAAGAAATGAAATATTTTCATTAAATGCTGTAATTTAAATTACAGTTTAGTTATAATTAATTTGCATAATTTTCTGCAAAATTACTCCTATTTTTTCTTGTAAAAGTATATTATATAAATTGGTATGCGATAAATGAATGAATAAATTATACGTAATAATATATATTTATTAAAGTCACGTATATCAATTTTAAATTCATGACTTTTTTCTTTCAATTTTTATTAATTTTTGAAATGCGCTCAAATTTTAGGTATATATCCATTTTAATATTAATTTAGGTGTATATCCATTTTCATCTTAATTTAGCTATATATCCATTCTTAACTTTAATTTATATTAATTTTTCGCTCAAATTTTAGGTATATATCCATTTTAATATTAATTTAGGTACATATCCATTTCCATTTTAATTTAGGTATATATTCATTCTTAACTTTGATTGATATTAATTTTTTGATCATTGTATTCAATTTTTATCATCAACTGCAATTATTTATCGTTTATTATTGGAAAATATAATTTCCATTGATTTTTAATCATAATTTTTAGATAATAGTTATTGTATTATTAATTATAATTACTTATCACTTATCAATTACTACTTGTTATTATGAATAATAAACATAGGGGACGAGTAAGAGATAAGGCATAAGTTTAAATGAATTAGTGATAATTAATAGAAATACTAAAAAATTAATAAGAATGATGTACGATCTGATGATCGATAAAATATTTCAATGAATATAGGATGGTAAGATTGTATAAGTTATTAATTTAAATAATTTAAATTCGCTGAGTAATGTGAAATCATAAGCTGCTAAAGTTTTTGCTGAAGATACAAAAGTTATTCATTATCCCAACGAACGTAGATGATATTGTTTTCGATTTTTAGTTCCATTAAGTTCTTAATTTTAATTATTAATTGGTTTCAGTATTTCAATGCAAGCTTGGCTAGTTTTGAAACACAGAAAGATTTTGAACTGTTCAAAAATTATATATTGCATAATGAGCTATCTGTATCAAATGCTTTAATTGGACTTATACGACAACAGCATGGTAAATGTTGTTTTTGAATTTTTAAAAACTCGTTTAAGAAATGATAACAAATATCGATGATATGCAAATGATAACAAGTACTGATGATATGCATAAATAGTTATTAGGATAATTGTGAAAAAAAAGTTATTGAAAACAAAAATACAAATAGCGATAAATTTATAATGATATTGATAACAATAATAATAAATACAAATAGCGATAAATTTATAATGATATTGATAACAATAATAATGAAAAAAATATTGATAACAATTACAACAGCATGATAAATTGATATTGATAACAATACAATAATATTGATAACAATAATAATGCTAATGCATTATTTATAATGATAATAATAATAAGAGTATCAGTAGATAGTTATTATGATTTATAATCATAAGCATTAATAATAAGAAGATAATTTGAAGGAATTGATGGTAATTGAAGCAATCATTTCAAGTCAACTGGAAGTTAGTAAATAAGTAACATATTTCTATAAAAATTAAAATTAATTATTAAAAAATAAAAGTGAGTGCTTTCTTAGGCTCATATGCTTGGAAGGATTCATCACCGGTAACATTCCTAAATTGGGCAAAAGATGAACCGGCGGATGAAAAAGGTCGAATAATACAGCAATGTGTTAAGATGGAACTGAGTGGTAACTACACCTGGCATAGTATTAATTGTTGGCAAAGTACTCATTATTTGTGTTCAGCGCCGGTATCTAATGTATTCCACCATCCGCCGCCCACAAGTAATTATCATCAATGTTGAATTTTTTCCTCTTTTCAAAATTTGAAATTTAAATTTTCTTTTGTCTTAAATTATAAATTATGATGAAATTTTTTACCTTCACCAATGATCAAAATAGCAGCGAATTTGCAGTGATCAAATATCGAATTAATTAAATTTAGTCAATTGTTTTAAATTAATTATGACTGGTCAATTATTTTTTTTCATCCCTTCTTGTTTCGGCGAAATTTTTTAGTTTTACGAAATTTAAATCAATTCTATTCTTTCATAAATAATTTTATTGTTTTATGAAAAAGTTTTTTATTCTACCAATGGCCAAAAAATATTCGAAAATTTGAGAAGATTAATTTAAATTCAATTTTAATTATTCATCCAAGAATTTTTGTTTCAGTGGATAGTGATAATAATGAAATATTTCCATCATCAATCTTATCAAATGATAAAGAAGTGAAAGATAGGAGGAAATTATCCGATGATAATGACAGCTACACTAGCAACAATGATCAAAATTGTAAGTGCTACATTTTAATAACTTCTTTTTAAACCTTTGAAAAGGAGAAAATTCATCGAGAAGTCATTCAGAAATATCCAACCATTATTATAACTCCTTCATGCCATTATTATGCCTTTTTTAGTTTTAGCTTATATAAATTAATATAAATGAATTGTCTTATATAAATTGTTGAAAAAACAAACAATGATGGAAGTTCAACGAATTATAATTAATGTCATTAACCGTAAGATATTTGAATAAGGTAAATTTAGTTTAATTCAGTTAGGTAAAATCTAATCAGTCTGATCTAAACTTTTCCTAAATCAATTAAAATGAAAGGTATGGCATGAGAAAGAAAGAATAGTAATTTTAGCATGTAAAGAAGAAGAAGAAGCTAAATTTGAATTAGATCGATTTAAGAATAAGTAATATTAATTCTCGTGATTAAATTAATTATTATATTGCTTTCTACTTGCTAACTTCCCCGCATAACTTAGTTATGATTTAGTAAGACTAAAGTTCAAAAATTTCACTCCATTGAATTTATTTATTCCTTATTAATTATTAATAATAATTACGGTTTGGATACAGTGAAAGAGTAATTTAAAACTTTAATTTTAACTACTTACTATTGTATGCAATACTTCATTATAGTTTATGCGATAATTTTCGATGCAATTAACACTCATTAAATTTTTTCATTCCCATTCTTTCTCAGCTTATCGTCCAATTATTATTAATTAATTAATTTTCCATTTCACTTCTGTATCAATTCATATTTTAGTGGCTGTCAATAACCATTAAGTTATCCATTTTTATTCAGTATCAATTTATGCAATAATTAGTGACTGTCAGTAACCATTGAGTTATCCATTTTTATTCGATATCAATTTATGCAATAATCAATAGCTACAATCAATAAGTTCCATTTCTATTCTACCATAATTGTTTCATTTCTGGTTTATACCTAATTAATATTAGTAATTAATAAGTTGCTAATTTCTAAATTTCTTAATTTGTGAAAAAAAACAACCTTACCAACTTTTTTTGCAGTATTACCAATATCACCATCACAATCGATAAGCGCAATTAATACTTTGGGTGAAATCTGTTTAATGTTCATCATAGTGTTAAGTATGATCGGTGGCATACAACTATGGAGACGAAAGCGACGATTATGCTTAAATAATCAACGAATTATTCAATTTGATCAACTTCAAAATGAGGAAGAAAATACCATGTAAACGGTATGATACGGGTATCACTGATAATGATAACGAAACAGTATCTTTATTAATTTTAAAAAATTTTTAACTTTATCAAGAAAGGAAAGAAAAAATTCTTTAAGATAAGATACACAAGATAAGATACATAATGATAGCAAAGCAGTATCTTTAAAATAATATGAAAGTTTTATTCCTCTACTTTTTCCTTAATATCATTTTTGTTCATTTAAGTAAATTTGTTCGATACATTTTGCGATACATTGTTTAATACATTTTGTGGTACATTTTGCGGAATTTGTTTGATACATTTTGTGGTACATTTTGCGGAATTTGTTTGATACATTTTGTGATACATTTTGCGGAACATTTTGCGGTACTTTGTTTGATACATTTTGTGGTACATTTTACGCAATTTGTTTGATACATTTTGCGATGCATCGATTATTTGATTGAAAATTTAGAGGACGAAAACTGGCACCAAATAGATTTTGATATATTTTAAAAGTAAAAGTTACATGAAAATTTTCATCTATTGCATTTAACTTTTTTTAGGCATAATTTTAGTTTTTCTATATTTCCATTATTCTTTCATTCATCCTCTTGTCGTTTTCCTCTGTTGTATATTTTGAAATTACAATATCATTCATCTTTTGTTACGTTTATTTTAATCTGAAATTTGATTTCCAATATTATTGTCTATGCATTAGTTAAAATGGCAGTAAAATATTTGATTAGAATTTACAATTAAATAATTAATTTCAATTAGTCACAATTAAATTTCTTCTGCAACGCATTGCATTGTGACCGTTTCATTGATATCAATTTACATATTCCGAAATAATTGGAATAAGGCGCATTAGCATTTATTAATTGTAATATTTAAATTCACTAAAATATTGCGATCAAAACTGAGTTGTAGAAATCAAAGAGTTCGATAGTGAAATAATTTGTACAGAAAAAGGAATTAATAATTGATAAGCATAGCATAAGACAATCACCTATAACTAGAAACTTAGGAACCTCAGACATATAATTAATTATTAGATAAACATCTGATAATTACATTACCATTCATTGTTAATTTAAGCAATGGGATATAATATAACCTAAAACAAATATACTGATAATTTTAAACTTCATTTATTTGAAAACAGACAAACTATGAAATGGGAATCTTTTGGCAAGATTCAGATTATGAAGTTGGAGAGCAAATATTTTGCTGACTGTTAGAAATAAGCTTATAAGAGCTTTTCTTTCTTACTAAATGCTTCTGCAACAAATTTTGAAATTAAATTTTCTTTTCAAATTTTAATCCAAATTTAAGTTCACATGATAGGATAAATTTAAATTCAAATATTTAGAACTTAATCAAACCTGAGGTCAAATAGCTACCTAAAAATTATTCCATGCCATTTCAATTTTCTATAATTTTGAAATAAACTGAAATTATTAAAATGCAAAATATTGTACCGTAAATATAATTACATTTCATATATCATTTAAAAAAGTGGAACAAATAACTCTGAGGATTACGGTAAATTTTAAATTCATATTACTTTTTCGATTAACTATTTTTGAAATTAGTTATAATTAATTTCCATAATGTATTTTGAATTAAGGTAGTAGAGAAACTTGATTCACATATTATTCCTATCGCTGATTTTATTCACTAATGAAAACAATAATATGAAAACATCAAAACTGAGAACTACTTCATTAACACCTGTAATAAAAGAGTAGCTTATTTTTAATCATTACTTACTAATAACTATAATAAACATTATATGGATATACAATTTTGCAGGAAAAGAACGTTTTAAATTTTAAGTTTTCAATTGATACTTAATATCCATGAAGAATTGAATTAATGAAAGCCACAAAATGTAAAATTCAAAAATTAATCGAAATCAATGAGAAAAAGAAAAATGAATAAAATTTTAAACAAAATAATTTTAATTTAATTAAGTCTAAGTAAATTAAATAAGAACTAAATCCATAATAACTGAATTTCAAACCTAATTCAATTTATGAAATTACAATTGATAATAAGATTTATAATTAAAGGAAAAAAATTAACAACCTAAATTAACAAATACTAGTCATGACTAAAATTAACAACCATACTAGTTGCATTTCTCTGCATCATTTTTCGACATTAAAACTTCAACAAATAAATTTACAATTATTCTTCCACTTTCAAATATTTGTATCAACAACATACACTCAATGATTATGCAGAAAAAGTACCACACTTTTTTCCTGGCACTTTTGAATTTTATTTGTATTAGCTTTGAAGTGAAATTTCGACGTCAAAAATGATTGAGAATCTAATTCTGATACCTTTGAATTTTGTTTGTATTAACTTTGAGTTGAAAGTTTGTTTGTATTAACTTTGAATTGAAATTTCGACACCAAAAACGATTGAGTATTATGTGCGATATCTCAGGTATTACTTGGATAAAAAAATTCTCATAAAAATATTTCAAAAACTTTCTATGACCGATTCTGTTTCCATAGTGATAAGTAATAAAAAATGATTTTAAATGATGGATTTAAAAAAAGTCAAAGAAACATAATCAATGAGCAAAAAAAGATGCAAACTTCTATAACGAACTCACGGGATAACTTCCATAACATTTGGAATAACTGGAACTCTCGGGATAACTCTCATAACATTGCTACCACAGGTGGACTACTTAACAATTGACGATAATTTTACAAACATTCATTCATCAAAAGAAATTGAAAAATTGACATTTTGAACGAAAGACTAAAAAGTTCGCATTCTTCAAATTGTGAAAATGAAATGTTATATTTGAAGTGATAACAAATATTTGCCAAATCAATGATATTCAGGAAACCATTCAAATAATCAATTTTTGAAGCAATGAAGTTTTTTGTGAGATTTATTCGATACAAATAATTATTTTGATTTGAAGACGATAATTGGCTGTAATAAAAGAATGAAATATTTGTATGAAATATTTTAGGATAATCTTCGACAAATTTATAATTATTAAATAATATAATTTTAAAAATATTATTTTGAATTTTAGAAATAGAAAAATTGGGATAATAATAAGAATGATAATAATAATAATAATAATAATAATAATAACAATAATATTTATAATTATAATAATAATAATTTTATAATTATTAACTAGCTACTATCATTCATTTATTTTATTATTATTAATATAACTGCAAAATCATTGCATTTATTGCTTCAATATATTTTTTTGCAAAACATGAATAATTAGGAAAACAAAACTTTTGGATGAAAAAGAAATAAATATACACTTTTCAGTGCAACAGAATTTATGCTCCCACTTATTTCCTCTTCAACAAATAAAAATGTAAAGATAATTGATTTGATATGATTGTGATTATGCTATGCTGATTGATTTGATATGATTGTGATTATGATTATGCTATGCTGATTGATTTCATATGACTATGCTATGATAACTGATTTGATATGATTATGATTATGCTATGCTAATTGATTTGATATGATTATGATTATGCTATGCTATTTGATATGATTATTCTATGCTAATTGATTTGATATGATTATGATTATGCTAATCGATTTGATATAGCCATGCTATGCTAACTGATTTGGTATGATCATGCTATAATAATTGATTTGATATAATTATGATTATGCTATGCTAATTGATTTGATATAATTATGATAATGCTAATTGATCTGATATATTTATGATTATGCTATGCTAATTGATTTGATTCGATTATGCTATGCTAATTGATTTGATTCGATTATGATAATGCTAATTGATTTGGTTCGATTATGATAATGCTAATTGATTTGATATAATTATGATAATGCTAATTGATCTGATATATTTATGATTATGCTATGCTAATTGATTTGATTCGATTATGCTATGCTAATTGATTTGATTCGATTATGATAATGCTAATTGATTTGGTTCGATTATGATAATGCTAATTGATTTGATATAATTATGATAATGCTAATTGATCTGATATGTTTATGATAATGCTATGCTAATTGATTTGATATGATTATAATTATGACTGTACTAATCGATTTGATAGGATTATGATTGTGCCAATCGATTTGATATGATTATAAATAATGCTAATCATTCCTTTAATCATTCAAATAGAATTAAATAAAAAAAAGCAATCGAATCCTGAAATTCAAACCGTAAAACGAAAACGAAAAACGGAATGAATCAAATTGTTCGATTTTTTTTCAAACAAAACGAAAAAAATGGATGGAAATGTTTTATTTTAGTATAATTTAACATTTTTTGATTTGTGAAAATATTTGTTTTTGCTTTTCCTTCACATTCATTTTCTGTTCTGTTTTTTGTTTTATTCATTTTATTATCAATTGATGAATCAATTTTGATCGAATATTTTTCCTTATTGCCACTTTTTCTTCCTTCTTTCTTTCTTTCTTTCTTTTTCATTTCATTGTTTTATTTTATAATTAAGAGATTTTAATTAATGAAGTTAATTAAAGAGTATTTAAATGACGAATGAAGGAATATTTTAGTTATAGTAGTAATGAATATTTGATATTAAATAGATTTTAATTAATGAAATTAATTAAAGAGTATTTAAATCATGAATACAGTAATATTTTAATTTATAAATTATGAAATGTAGTAATAATGAATATTACATATTAAATAGATTTTAATTAACGAATTTAATCAAATGGTATTTAAATTACGAATGAAGTAATATTTTAATTAATAAATTATGAAATAGAGTAATAATGAAATACAGTAATATTTGTATTTAGTATTGGAATGAATTTGTAAATATATACATGTATATAATACAAATAATATTTAAATTAATGAAATTAATAAAGTAGTATTTAAATTATGATTACGGTAATATTTTAATTAATAAATTATGAATGCTATATTTAAATTATGAAATAGGGTAATAATGAGATACAGTAATATTTAAATTCAGTATCGGAAAACATTCGTAATAAATCCATATCATTGTGATTAAGTTAAATTCAATTCGTACGATTTTATCAATTTCGTATATCAGAGTTTCAAATGACGAAAACATGTGTTGATAGATTTGCCGAATGAAAAACATAAATATTTGCGTAATCGAAATTAAGATGATATTGGAAATGAAAAACAATAATTGAATACTCTTACAAAAAATATGTTTGAGGAAATTAACTTTGTGAATTACACAACTATTAATTAAACAATAAACTAGTAATTAACAAGTGTCTCCTCTTTCCTTTGTTTTTTCAAATTTTTACAATATCAATTTAATTTCTCAGTTCTAAGCTAATATCAGGGTAGCAATCCTAAAGTACGCTAGCAATCCTTCATTAAAAAAAAACAGTACATATGGAACAGAAGATGGAAAATAAATCAATGGATGACCTATTAGGTGTTACAAAAGAATTACTATCATTGTGGATGACAACGTATCCGAATGTGGCATTAAATAATCTGTCACCACATGAAAGTATGTTTCCAGGTATTTCATTAGAATTATTAGAAATTATCGATATATTGATATATTTATTATGATTTGAATAATTCATCCTAAGACTATTTATACGGTGAATTGCTTTTTTGACATTTAAAAATAGCTGTTATGATTTATAAGCTTGCAATTATCGTACTTTCAACAATTTATCTAAATTATCCAAAGGTAAAAAAAATTTCCGTCACCTTTAATTAAGCTATTTGTAATTCATTATCATGAAGGAATTGCATGTAACACGTCAAATTTAATTTATTCTCAAATTTAGTATAAAAGAGATGATTCATTGAAAGTAATTATATGAATTATTAAATTACTTTTTTTTTTTGAAGTAATTTCAGTTCGGAATATCACTGCTTCACGACGTATTGAATCAATAGGATTGAAAAATTTTGAGGTAATTATCTTTCAAAATTCAAAATTTACAGTGATCAATTTTGATTCCTAATTGAAAATTGTCATAAGATAATTTCTTCTAAAGGTGTCCCAATTGAAAATTATCATAAGATAAATTATGATAAGAATTATGATAAGATAAGATAAGATAAAGATGTCCTAATTGAAAATTATCACAAGTTAATTTCTTCTAAAGATGTTCCAATTGAAAATTATCATAAGTTAATTTTTTGTGCCTATTTTTATTTTTTATCCAAAATGCTAATTTCATTAATTAAAATGATAAATTTAAAAACAAATTACATTAATTAAAAGTTTTGTATTTTAATTATCTTCTTAATTAGCATAATTTCATCATTACTATTAAATGCTTCACTTGCAAATAAACACTATAATGTGTGCAACTTAATTTTTCAATTATATCTTAATTTACAATTTTCAAAACTTTAGGCATTTTTCTCAAACACACATACTGAAGAAGATCATCGACAGAGCAATTCAGTGAATCCATTTCAATGCAAACTTACACCATCCACATTTGATGGTATGAACAAGAAATTTTGTAACAATTCCATTTTTTATATTTAGCACAATTTTAATGAAAATTAAAAACAATAAAGTTAGTTTGACTTAGGTCCATTCAATGGGTAGCATTTCTTTTTTTGCAATTAATTAATTAAAATTTTGAAATAATTTTATTTTTCAAATTATTACAGTTTTAATGAAAATTAAAAACAATAAAGTTAGTTTGATTTAAATCCATTCAATTGGTAGCATTTCCTTTTTTTTGTGTTAAATTAATTTCATGAATAATTAAAACCAATGATGATCATGATTTTTTAAAATTTTTTGAAATAAAATTTTTGAAATTTTTCTTCAAAAATATTTGATACGAATATTTGATACGTTTGATCTTATTCATTCATTTTTATAAGCTATTAAATATTATAATCGATAGCAGTAATTTATATTTAAATGAAATATTTTGTAATTTAGATAAAACAATAGTAAGATGGATTTTTCGTCATTTCTTTAGCAATGATACATTCTCAACTTCTACTATCACAGATAATAACATTTATCTTATCAATTTTTTGATCTATTGATGCAACATTTTTTGCAGTTCTTGTTGATGTTTGACATCTCTTGAATCTATGCTTTTCTATTTTTTATCTAATTATCTGAGCGATCAATCAATGATATACTATTTTTCGAATTTTCAATCATATTATACTATTTCCAAAATTTCCATTACTTTGTCCCTTTCCAAAATATTGTACTATTTCTACAATATCATCCTCAATTTTATTCTTTTCCACTTTTCACATTAAAAAACTTAACTACATGTGAACATCATATGAGTGGGAAGTGTTGTTTCGTTCAAGTTGCACAATGAAATTTCTAAACTTCAGTCTCTGTGCTAATTACGCCATGTGGTTTCTGCCATATTAAAATTGCCCGTTTTCATTTTAGAAGTGGGCTGACAGGTGCATGGTTGGATGCTTAACTCTTTTCACTTTTCATTTTCACTTCCTTAATGTTTTACAAATCACCTATTGTTTCATTTGTCTCATCAATTGCTTCCTGATCAATCATTTCCACGTGGTCATTATTATCATTTTATTCTTTTACCGTATGACATTTTCTATGAATATATTAATTTTTTCTTTGTAGCCTTCTCAAAAGGAATTATCTCTAATTCTGTTTCTCAAATGGATGATGTTTTTTTATCTTTAAACATTTAACAAAACAAAAATAATAAACAATAATAAGTAAATGATGAACAAAAATGATAAAGAGTAATAAGTAAATAACGAATAGGAATTGAATTATCAAATTTTTACACCTTATTTTAATTATTCAATTTTTTGTACTCTATTTTAATTATTCAATTTCTTTTTACTACCTTATTTTAATCATTCAATTTTTCGTATTTTAATTGAATTATTCAAGTTTTTTTAATACCTTATTTTATTTATTCAATGAAAGTTAAAATTTGTTGCATGCACAGAACTTATACTTTCCAAATGAATTTTGAAATGAAAAATTCAACACTGTTGCATTGTATCGTGTTTTCATTTACTTTACATATATTTCCTAACTCAATCCGATAACATTTTCTTATTCAGTTTCCTAATGTTTGTCTGAACTTTTTCATCTGGAAAGAAAGCAAGCTGTTGACTTTTTTGATAAACCGAAAAAATTCATATCATGTAAAAATCATGATCTAGTGAGTCACTTCTCAAAATCTAACTGTAACAAAAGATAATATCATCCATTTAGAATTGTATATATTTTTTCCCTTCTCAAATTTATACATTATTTTTTGACGTTTACCTCTGAGAGTGTAATTATTATGCATATTATATATATATATCTTATTATGCATATTATTCTTTAATTGCTAATTAAGACTTAATACTTTAAATATAAATTAAAACGTATCAATATTTCCTTCTACTTATTATTTATATTAATTTTTTATTTTCATTCAAAAAAATATTTTTATCTTCTCTATGTTTTTGCAAATGTTTTTTCATACTTTTAATTATTAAATTTTTCATAAATTAATATGTCATGCCATATATAACATTTTAAAACACATATAAATATATATTATACATATATGTTACCATTTATAAGTTTATACAAGCGTACGTATCCTTAGAGCGCATTTGATATAGATGGGATTTCAGATTTATTAAAATTTTGTAATATTCCACTTCAGTAAATATATCGAATGTTGCGACGTCAAAGCTCCAATCAATGACCTCCTCACTATACCGTTCACCCTCATTATGTAGTATCATGACACCAAATGTGTCATTGGATATGCATGAGGAAGTTATTGCTTTTCGTAAGTGATGTATCACTTTCATCTTTTGCGAATTTCATTTTTTTAATCATTTCAATGATTCCAGTTAAGATTTATCTTCTGAGCGATTTTAGAAATTTCAATTTAATTCAATTTTTCAGACAGTTCATGCATTTTGATTGGAATTATGCAAAATTTCCAACTTGTAGCTAAGGTGTTGTGTTTTGTGATGGTTAAATTTTATCACAGTATTTGATAATCAAAGTTAATTAATACAAAGATTTTTGTCATTAAAGACTTTCTTCTTATTACTGATTATCTTCTGCACTGTAACGAATTCAACTCTGAAACGGCTATAAAGTGTTTTACTCTTTATCATATAGTAATCAATATTGCTGATAATGCCACAGTACTCGGTCTTTATGCAAATATCTTTTTAAAAGTAATAAGTGAAAAAAATCTTATTGATCTGAATGAACTGAGTTTTAAGATAATATTTCGAAAGCTTGATCAATAATTTGGGATTTTTTACTTATTACTTTTGTATCAAATTTGGAGAGTTACGGCATCCTATTTCACTGATTTGTTTCAGTTTGCTCGATCTGTAGTATCGACTGCCTTTTCTTCAAAAACGATATTGTTTTAGATATTAAACTGCATTTGATAATTTAATACAATATCTTATTATCCTTTGGGAGGTTTCTTTTTATGTATTTATAATAAGCAGCTAAAGATTTTGTAACTTAAAAAAAGATTTGAGTTTTAGAGGTCAAATCATAACTTTTAGCTTATAATTACAATTGAATTTTACAGCACAGTCTGCTGAATTGAATTCCGACGTAGGTATTCAGACTGGCCCGGAGTCAAAATTATCCGCCATTAGTTCCTCGTCGAATACAGGTTCATTTTCAAATTTATTTGTTATTTTTCACAAAATATGATCATTTTAATATGATGCATATTTATTCTGGATGTACATATGCATTTTATATATATATGTACATCCAGAATAAATAGAATAATGGTTCTAAGATTGCTTCTTTTTACACTTATAGATTTGAAAACTGGGAATAAAATGGAAATTAAAATTTTCCGTCCATGCATTACGATCTAACTGACTTCTGTGCCATTTTATATTTATAAATAGTGCTGTTAATATAGAATTAAAGCGAAACAGAATAGTTAACTTTCAGGAAACATTCCGATAGTTTATGAGCCAACGGAAGCATTACCACCTTCTAATGCACCATTGAGTCCACTGCTATATTTACAAAAACAGTAAGTGTTTAAAATTTGTGTGATATTGTTGATGTCGCTTCTTGTGATCATGATTTTCCTAGTGTCATCGTAGCGAGTATTCATGGCTGGATAGTGGTTCTGTTTTTTCTTCTTCAGTTATTTAGAAGTTGTATGGAGAATAACTCTGCAGTAAATTATAGACCATTCGTTATTAAACGATGATCTGCCGCTCGATACCTATCCATTTCTTCGAAATTTAAAATAAAAACTAATTTTGAAAAAACCTTCTGCAAAAAAGTTCATTTTTATGCATAAGAAATTTCTGTACATTATCTGCACGAAAATAGCAAAATTATGAATCAAAATTAGACCACATTTTCAATAACTCAAAATACATTACGATCCCCAGTGTTTGCAGGTTATTTCATTCTGAAAGCATTAATTTTATGAAAATTTTATGATTTTGAATTCCAATGAAAAGAGAAAAACGGATAAGTTGACCATTGTAAAAAGGATAAGGATAAGTTGACCATTGTAAAATTAAAAACTGGAAGAAACATCCTGCAATCTGCCGTTATAGCCCCTGTTTCAATCGGTATTATAACATAATATTTTTCATTCAGCTGTTCTGGCTAATAGCAAGAAAGACGAAAGAGAAGTCGCTCTTTCTGCATGCTTTGCTTTATATTTTAAATTTTTGTGCTTTAAGCTTTTTTCCTTTCAAGAAAGTGCATTATTCCAAGATTATATTCTTTTTCATCATTCAAGTAGCATTGGTTTTTTATGATCATATCAGAAATTTGCCTAATTTCAAATATATGTTTTAATTATATTTATGTTTAAGTTGAAGATGACTTTAGATTCGGTATATTGTATGCAAATTCAGTTTTATTATTAGGTTTTCTTCCCTTCATATTTTCAGTTTTGTAATTTTTTGGGAAAGTTTTTCTCTTTCTATTCTTTCAATTTTATAATTTTTAATGGGATTAAGGTATTTCGTCATTGAGAGAGTTTTTCCGTCTTACTGATCAAATCATTACATGCCACTTTCATCATCGAACATTAATTGAATACCGTTGAAATCTTGAATAGCACCAGGAATTAAGTAATTATTAAAATTATTAATTTTCACTTAACACTTTTTACTGCGATGAAAATTACAGGTAATTGAGGCTTATTATATATTGACATTTTATCAAATAAAAATGAGATAAATTTGTTAACAAAATCTAATTTTATGATCTGGAAAATATTTCAAAAAAAAAAGGCTTGTTTTATCTTCGAAATAAAATTTGCTATTATTCGAAGCACCGCCTTATATTTACTTTGAAAGTAAAGTTTTCAATTTTCGGAGTATCATCAAGATGCATTTCAATATTTACTCAGCATATATCCAATTCCATAAATTTTCTATATTTGAATGCACTTTTTTCATGGTGTTTGAATTTTATCCATTTATAGCTCACGTTCATATGCTCACCATTTTTTTCGAATTAATTTATTCGTCCTTTACAAAACCTCATGTTAAATTTAGTATTTTAGGTTTTTAATATGAAGATCTGATTTTTCTTTTTTTTAATTCTTTGAAAAGTGGTTCGTGTCGTTTGCGAATATTTACTGAGCTTTTTATCAAGTGACAAATTGCAGCTTATTTTTATTAGTAATGATGTTTAGTTGCTGCTTTCATATGAAAAATCATATTCCTTGAAATAAATGATATTGTTTATGATGTAGGTTAGCACCGCCAGGTTAGCACCTGAACACCCATTTTCTATAAAGCTAATATTACTGATAATGATAGGCCTGTAAAATCATTTCCATTACCTTAATATTATAACGTTGTTGCTGGCATTTACTTTTTCTATTACCTTAATATTATAACAATATTATAACGTTGTTGCTGGAATTTACCTCTTTCTAATTTAAAGGCTTTCACACATTTCTTTCGGAAAATACTCGAAGAAATATATCAAGTGAACAAATAACAGAGCTAACGTTTTTATCAGTATTGTTCTCAACAGTAGAGACAAAACCATTAAGAAAAAACTTAGAATTTTAAGAAATAATATCTACTTCAATAGGATTAGATCAGGAAAAATTGATCGGTGTGTCAAAATTTCATCGAGAAATCATGGTCTATATGAAAATTGATCGTTCTTCAACGTCCAGCATTCCGATAAATTCGGAATTAGCAATGTTGAAAAGTAATTTATCCCATAATTTATTAATAGCAGCAAATATATCATCCTAAAAATTCGTTGGTTTAAATCACTTCGTTCCATTTTAACCAATGATTCATGCTTCAATATGCGGAAAAGCATACAACTGACTAACTTTGATATGAATGTGCAGTAACTATTTGGCTAATACTGTACGCTTCTTATCAACACAAGTATTATCAATATAAATATTTTTAATAGCTTTCCGATTCATATGTTCCCTTCAACTCTACCTCATCATTATTTGGAGTGTCATAACATTCCATCGACAGCAAAGGTAACTGCAACGGCAACACCAATAGCAATAACAACAACAAGTAATGATGTTGTAGTAAAGGAAAAAGCGGCACTGTTGAATAAAAGGTCTGTTTATTGATCATCTTCCGGATTATATTTTCAAATGACTGCATTTTTTCCAGGTACCGTGGTGAGTTATCAATTCTGGAGAAGTATTTTTATGATCTCAGTCGAGCGCAACTTAAAGCAAGTTCACGAACATCAGCTTTACTAGCAGGTTTTGCTATGGTAAGTAAATTATAGGATCAATTTAGTCAAGCTTTGAAATGGAATATTTTATTTTATTCCTGTCATCGATAATTTGATCGAAATATCCCACTACAAGGATACCTGCAGAATGCATTTTCGATAACATAAGATAATATCATATCACACAGTACCATAAAATTGATATTATGAAGTGCAGTACAAATTTTTCGGATTTTCGGTATTATTAATTATTATAAATAAACTAATTGTTTTTTTATCAGAGTGGTATCTCATTGCCTGAGTCCTAATCTCAAAGTAGAACCTCGGGTTAGTGAGACAGTACACTGACTGCCTTACCATTTACTGAACCAGCGGATGTTTTGGATGAAATTTTGGAGTTCATTGCTCATGTCTTTATCCAGGATTTAAGAGTTTATAAAGTATTTTTTAATTACGATTTCATGAGATTGATGATTATCTTCTGCAGTTGTTCTGTTTTTTTCTGTATATCCCGATCATTCTGAGTGTTTTTCCAATTTTTTGGTATTCCATCCAACGAAATTATTGAATACTACTTTTTCCTTTTATTTAACTTCACACCTTAAATTATAATATTTTTTGATTTTTTCTTTTTTTCCATTTTATTTTTTACCAGGCAAACTGTTAATGTCAATATAGCAAACAAACCAGAAAATATAATGGAAGTGAAGATAAAGAGTTCGAAGTATTTGAGTTTTGAACAGTTTGTATTTATCCCAACAACACCGTATCTTTCTTGAATATTACTTTAGCATTTCTAATTGGTTTTTATTGCTGGATCAATAGTTAATTAGCTTGACGGAAAAAGTTATTTATACTTTTTGTCTTATATCGTTAACCTTAATCTTTCTTTCTCCTTTTTTTCAGATTTCATAACTTAGTCACTACCAGCTTTTTGCTTTTTTTGCTTTATGTTAATGATTTTTAGACTTTTCTATATTATGATTTACTTTTCCAATCATTACGAGCACCGATTCCTCATGTTCACCCTTTGTTTCTGATATTTTAATTAAATTTTCTTAATGTTAGCTTGATCATTTGGTGATCTATTTCCTTTATCAACGGTCTATTTTATTTTTAATAAAATCTCTTTACAATTTGAAAGTATAGGTAATCGACATCAGAATCATAAGTAGATCGTAGTGCATGAGACAGTAACATAATTTCTTATCAATAGATATTAAGCGTAAATCGAAATAACTTAATCAATGATTAGATATATAACATAAGCGTTAGTTCGGTATTATGCAATAAAATTTGGTAAATTGATAATATGCTCTCACATTGATAATATTGGATGTTATGACATTTAGCATTTCGCTTAGCAGTATTCAAAAAGTATTAAATTGTTATAAGATAGTATACTTCATTATGTCCAGGTCGCTTTGGTGGAATTGCAATATGAGCGAACGACGCCACCTTTTTTGTTAATAACACTTGGAGTGGTGACCACACTTCTTGTTTCCGTTCATCTCCTTGCATTAATGATGTCAACATGTATATTACCTTACATCGAAGCAAATGGTTGTACGCAAGATTCACCTCATATCCGGTTGAAGTAAATTCGTTCTCCAACAATTATTTGATTTTGGAATAATAGATTAGGGAAATGCTGCTTTAGTTTATTAAATTGGAAAAATGTAATAATGAGACAAGAAATCATTGGTTAGGAAAGATTAGTCGCCGGTTTGAAACTTAGGTTAGCAATATTTTTAGCATCAGCATCTCTATTGCATTGGCGATATTTTCTTTCTTTTTATTTTATATGTGCATAAATCTTTTAAATAATGGATCTGCCCAATACATTTATGCTTTTATGTCAATTTGCAAATTTTATTTCATGCATTTCAATTTCAGGTTCTACATCGATCTATCATGGTTATTTAGTACATGTATTGGTTTAATATTGTTTCTTATTGAAATTGGTATAATATTTTTTGTGAAATTTTATGCGGTCAATTATATTACTGCTGCTTATATTACTACTGCTATGCTCGGTAAGCAAAAGATATTTTTTACTCTCAATTTTAAGAATTTTTTCGTTATCCGAATGAAGCATCATCGGGTTAACTATCGCTTAATAATGCATTATATCGTTAAGCCGTTTTATTGTTCATTATTACATAGTATTTTCAAAATTTTTCCAAAGCGAGAGATGACATATCAAGTAAAGAAGCAGTTAAGATATAAAATAGAGCATTTAACAAAGAGATATGTTGTAAACTGTAATTTTATTTCGAAATTTTGCGCACTGAAATCTTAACTTAAAGTTTTTATTCCTCCAAAATATTTTCTAATTTATCTACATTCCATCTTTTTTAATATTATTTGTTCAATTCATGTCAATGTTTTTCTTCATTTCAGTACCCGTTGTAGTGGTATTTACAATATTCTCATGTCTTATACACAAAAATCGATTTATTCATTCTATAAATCGTGTGGGATCAAAAGCAATTGATTTACAAAAATTTCTAAGCGAAAATAATGCAACGATATCGAATATTCCGAATGCTACACCTGTTGAACGACATCTGGTAGGTGCTGGCTTACAAAGCATCCGAGTTATTCATCACTGATTATACATAATGAAGATTTTTATAAAAATTTGAGTTTTTTCATTCTTCTAGTTTGCATTGGTTTTTTGCTCCTGCACTTTAATATATGCTTTGGGTTTAATGCTATTTTAAAATATAAGCTTCCATATTTGCTATTGGATGGAGATTATCTCCTGAATATTTTCCATTCTTCATCACTTATATGCTGCTATTAAATTTGATTTGATTTTGATTGTTTTGGGTAATTTGATCAACGAGAACTTAATGGAAATGAGCTTTTTTATGTTATCCTATTTGGTTTATGCTAGTATCTTGTAGGGTGAATAAATTTGTTGTTTCATTCCATTTCTTCAGCTCATCCATATCAGCTGTTATTGGCGAAAGATCAAATCGTTTGTTACACAAAACGTAACTGTCTTTGAAGATGAAGTGTGAGAACACCTTTCATTGCAATCTAGTTGATTGTATTCGCCATTTAATTCTTCCTGCTTGATTTATTGTTTCATACGGCATTTATGCTTTCATATATAAAACATTAGTTTTCACTATTTCCAACTGGAGCTGTGAGCAAGCACTTCGGGGCAAAAAACCTCCATAATGTGTCGCTTTCGTGATCCTATCATCCTCTGTTTACATTTTTTTGTACTTCCTTCCATCCTTGATAAAATAAAGTCTTCGTTTTACAGTATTCTGTTTTATCTACCTTTTTATGCTATCCGCATACTCTTTCACGCTATCTTCTATTTTTAGAATTTTGCTATTTGTTTAACTTTCAGTTGATGACATATTTAATTGATCTCAGATAAAATTTCCCACTTTTAGCACTGTTATCATTATCTTTCCTAGGTCAAAGTTATGCATCACTTTATGTCCATCCGTGAGAGCAATTTCTTTTGCATGTGATATGCTCAACCTTGCAACTCGAATGTCCTGTTATCGTTCGAGAGACATAGAAAGAGTACATTTAAACTGGTTAAGTATTCTCTTTTCATGTCTTTCAGAAGTCATTTATCATGAATCCAATTTCCCATGTTGACAGATCTGTAATTAATGACATGTTTAGTTATATAGAGTCAATCAAGCGGATCACTTTGTAATCATTGAAATTGACCTACACCTCAAAATTTTTCCATGAATTGATGTTTCTCATTAGATCACTCGTTGTCAGAATCGTTTAACCTGTGGTCCTCTCCAACATGGCTCCTACGCCTGTGTTCGTGGGCAAAAAAGCACCTAATTACCCAGTGCTAAGAAAAAGTATCGACGAGGGAGGGAAAATTTTTCCTAGGATATTTTCATATTTCCGTTTGCATCTCTTCTATGCAAATTTTGAACAAATCTCGGTAGCAATTTTGAATAATTCTGTATCAAAGCCGTTTATTACTAACCATGGTAACACCGAAATTCCTTTACAAGAGATCTTCACAGCTAATTTCATCTGTCTCAAAAATCTGATCTAATGGATAATCCTTCATTTGCGAATTTGGCAAAATATCTTGATTTTAATCATTATAAGGACTAAAAATCGTATGGGATCATATACTGAGGTTACAAACTGTAAGACGACTCTTTCAAAGAATTTTCTTCTATCTTATGATCTCACTATCACATTGATAATTCCTAGTGTTTTCAAGGACCTTTCTTTGACCTCCTTTAAAAAATTGAAGACAGGTGAAGATAAGCGATTATCGAAATCTTTTTTGAATTAAAAAAAGCTTGCTTTTTGAGATTGCTTGCTTGTTACTCGTTACTTAATGATTTTAGCAGGCTAATCTGCAAATACCTTGTTTAGGTATATTTAACAAATGAAGGGCATTTAATGATGAAACTTATCACATACTATTACTATTTCTATATATATATATTACAGGTTTTTATATTACAGAGATAAGAGGAAGAATAATCCATAATTCTAGAATCATCTCTACTATAACTTGGAAACAGTTTCATATTCTATGGTATTTGGCACAATTTCTTCGTAATGAATAAAACGCTTTGCATTGCTTTACGTTAAATATTGTCTTATAAAGAAAGAAATGGGCTGACTGCTTGCTTGTGCTTTCTAAACAGCCTTGAAATGAATAACTCTCGATCATATATGCTTTATCTTATCGAATTAATGAGTATTTGAATCAAAGTTTTGACTCTTAACGAAATTATGCTTTTCTATCATATCATGAAATTTTTCCATGGGATTGTTTCTGGCATGTGCTGCTTATAGGACACTACTATATTGAATATTAAGTTGGTTCTAGTAGTATTGCAATATTGATAGTAAATAAAATATCACATATACTCCAAGAAAAGTAGCAAAGAAAATTTACAAATTATTTGGAATAATCCATGCTAACTTCAAACTTTAAGCTTTTTCCCTGATGTGAAATTAATTTTAATCTTTAAAAACAAAATTTCAGCCGAACAAAAAAGAATATACGGTATGAAAGGAAAAAAGCTGAACATTGAGGTATAATTTCTTTTGCTGTATTTATCAATAGAAAAAAAAAACCTCCTAATTAAGTGTGATAATATGATAAATTATAATATGATTGGTGGATTTGGAAATGTTATCAGTGGACAATTGAAACGAAATAATTTTAAATTCTTCTATTTTCTCTTTTGTTTCTGGGAAGAAAAATTAAAATGAATTTGAACGTCTTCTGGAATCTTTTAACTGAAATTTTACAACTGATAATTTGACAAATATTATTTCATTCCTTCTTATCTTATTTCTCTTGTTTCATCTCCCCTTGTTATCTTTCCATTAATTGCACTTATTATTATACCATCATATTTAATCATATATTTGTTATTTGCTTAAAATTAGTCTCAATCATTTTTATGAAGTAAATAAATGTCGAATATATTTTCATGCTATATTCTCAATTATTTTTGTGATTATGCTTATATTTCTGTGATCATCATTAGCTTTTTTGTAGGGAACATTATGCTAAAATTTAATAAATAAATTTAAATATTTGATCATATTCAGTATGAACGGAAATTGGAAATTCATCTAGTAATGTCTTTTCTAAAACAATTTCCAAAATCTTTTTAGCAATAAATTAATAGGAACAGAAACATTTGCCACAGATAGCCTGGAAAGTATTTCTAATGGGTTAAAACTATTCCTGGAAAGTATTTCTAATGAGTTAAAACTATTCCAATATATCAAATAGTGAGAGTAAGAGGAAAAGTTAGTCATTGATTTTCTACTCAAATTTTCCATGAAAAATAGCACTTTTATAATATTTGAAACTTACAATTTGCTATAGTACACGAAATGGAAGTTGAAGTTATCCAAATTTCTTTTAATAGATCATCTGAATATAATTTCGGTCAAAATTTAATTTATTTCTCCGAATAATAGATTACGTTATCAATGGTACCTATATTTTAGTAAGACAACATCTCACGAACGGGAATCTTTTAAATCTTGTTCATTTAAAAAGTTATATTCATAACTGCTTTTCACTTATACTCATATTTGAATAGAGATTGATAATCATATTTGGATAGAGATCGATTAATTAAGCATTATATTTTATTCCATGTAAACAAACATTTAACTACATCGCATTACTTCAATTAATAATACCTTTTCCATAAACGGTGAAATCTCTGGTCATTGTAATAGTTTCTTCCAAATATGGTAAACGCTTAAATAAATTTATTGTTTACTTTACATAATCATTTTTCAAGTTAACTAAGGATATTTATTTATACTTGTAATTTGAATAAATGAATTGTCAATATTTTAAGCATTTATTGTAAATTCAAAATTATATTCTTTAAGTTTACATTTCCGTTGCATATGATATGCCATATTCGATTTCTCAATTATGCACATGAAATTGACTGTGCCGAAATATTCAATATACCTAGGAATTATTTGTTGAATTAATTATTTGAAAGATTTGTTCAGTTATATACTTTTTGCCTAATTATTTATCACTTTGCATGTTTATTCCATATCTATTTGTTAATATGTAATATATGCAAAATAATATAACTTTCAATAATTTAATATTATAATCAATTCCATTGTATTACACAATAATACTACGAGTTTCATCAAAATGCTAAATATAATTGACAGCGCTATGCTCAATTTTTGAATAGTTTTTCATTCACTTTCTTTTTTCACAATTACCATCAATAATTAATTTCTCGTTATTTGTTAAAATTATTATTATTATTATCATTATTATTATTATTATTATTATTATTA